TGTTAGAAACACTCACCTACTCTCAGTGTTTCTCTTCCTGGGTCCCAGAGGATAATTCCTCAGGAGCATTGGCCCTCATGCAGCTATACCTCGTTATTTAAATCTACATTGAGATGTCTCAATAGTCAGGATATTTGGGGAAATTTTACATGGTATGCAACTATAAATTTAATATAATTGAATCAGATCTGATTGTTTTAATACAACATAAATTTAATAGTTTAATTAGTTCACACACCAATCGTTCGAATACTATAGACTTTATAAACTTACCCAGAGTGTTCTTTCCTTTTCCTAGAAAAGTATCATAATGATAGCCTAGGCGTAACACTTTTTTCTGTCAGTGGCTTATAGAAGTTATTTTGGTCTGTAAACAAAACGATAGACTATACAGGGTAGGTGTTTTCCCTACTTTAAATGTGATGAAACTAAAGGACAGAGAGTTGCATAATTTACAAGAAGTCAAAAGCTGATTACTGAAAAAGTCCGGGCTAACTTAATATCATGGGCATGATAATTGTGTATTTTCCATTACTTTAAAATAATTATGCTTTTTTTTTCTTTAGTGAAAGAAATGATGTCTTAAGAGAAGCTGAAATTTTACACAAAGCTAGATTTAGTTACATTCTTCCAATTTTGGGAATTTGCAATGAGCCTGAATTTTTGGGAATAGTTACTGAATACATGCCAAATGGATCATTAAATGAACTCCTACATAGGGTAAGTGTTGTACATTTTCAGTGGCTGTAATTCTATTAATGAAGCTATAAAGTGCTTTGGTTATTTGGGGATATAGATTAATCACAATAAGAATAATGAGAAACAACGTGGTGCTAAAGTTTCACCACCTATGGCTTCTTTTGTGTTGTTAAGAATAATGTGAAGTCAGGCCTTGTCTGCTAAGGAATGGAGGTTCTTTTGCTTAGGTTACTGCGTTCTACACTGAGTTCCACTCTCCACGTGTATAATCAGGTAGGCATAAGAGAGAGAGAAGGTAAAGGGCACACTGCATGGTCCACTGTCCGCGGGCCGGATTTTATATTATGTTAAAGACAATTTAGGATTCAAACTAAATGTCAATAGTACCAGTTCATAAAATCCTGAATTACTAGGCCAAATAAATCTATCTCTGAGTGCCAGATGCATTGTCTTTTCCATGATTGACAGTGGTGTGAGCTATTTACTTTTTTTCTCAAGGTACCAGTTACTCTGGCTTTGATTGTGAATCCCATCAGTAAACAAATTTGGGGATCCTCATTCTCAAAATATGTGTATGCATCTATGGCTGTTTGCTTGAGTTGGTATGATCTCCAACCTGCAGTTTCTCTTAATAAATCTTTTTAAAACGCTCAGTCTAGCCCTAGCAGTGGATAGAGCATCAGCCTGGGGACTGAAAGGTCCGGGTTCCATTGCAGTCAAGGGAACATGCCCGAGTTGTGTGCTCGGTCCCCAGTAGGGGGCGTGCAGGAGGCAGCTGATCAATGATCCTCTCTCATCATTGATGTTTCTATCTCTCTCTCCCTCTTCTCTCCTCTCTGAAATCAGTAAAAATATATTAAAAAACAACAACAGTCTATTTAGCGAGGTTGGTTTAGTTAAAACTTGGTAATATAAGGTGTAAAATCCTAAATCCCTATCCATCAGTGTTCTGGTGGGAGAAAGGGGGCTGCTGGCAGCGCAACCTCTGGGGGAGGGACTTCCTCTTTGCCTGGGACACATCACGTTTTGTATACTGATGGGGTGGGTACGTATGAGGTGTGTGCAACTACCACCGCAGCCAAGATGGAAGTATTAATCCAGCACAATTTCTTTTTGAGAAATCAGTAGGAATTCTAATGTTTACTTCCCACACCCAGCACCCAGTAGATATTCTGGCAGCCAGGTCTGAGCCTCTAGATTCAGAATCCTAGAGCCTCCACAGGCAACTGCTAATTCCTGGAAGGAGCCGTGACCACAGAAGTTCCCATTTCACACATGTGCAGAGAGGACTTCTTCATCCTTTCACCTACATAATTTTTAGCAAGTTACCTTTTTATGGAGTAAAAGATTCAGTCACTGAGTGGACGGGGCTCTGTGTATTCAGAGGAACTAATGTGTGACATGAGTATTTGTGTTTCTTTTGGTTTCCTGTATCGCATTATTAGGGTGGGTTTGTCTTGAAGCACCCTTCCCCACCCTCATGAACGATTGCTGAAATAAGTCAAAATACAGTGTAAGTACAAAAGTTTGACCCACTTTCATGCCAGGTGATCATTGAACTATAAGCTGATCCATTTGCAGAAAAAAAAATCTCAAGAACAGTTTGGAGCTTTCAGTAGAAGCATACTGCTTCTTGAAATGTAGAAAAATATGCCCAGTGTCATGGTGCCTGATGAGTCACTGCAGAATCTTCCCCAAGTATCTAATTTTTCTGAGTATACTCATTTTCCTGAGGTTCCACATTAATTTTTATGTTTGGAATTTATTTAAGGAAAGTTCAAATGGATATCACTTGTAAGTACCAAGAAGTATAAAACATTGCTTTAAGTGTCTGTATTACATATGCTTTATAAATAAGGATAAACATTGTCTCCTTAAAAACAGAATTCAAGGCTATTTTTTCAAGTTGAAATGCAAATAAATTAATTATATGAAGAAAAGTATGAGATATTAATGCTTAGTTAATAAATATAATATGGTCATACTTTTTAATGGGTATAATGATTAGTTTTATATTAATCAGAAAATTAAAACATTAATTTGAATAAATGGTTTGGTATGTACTAGAAACAGTTATGTGTGTGTGTGCTCATGTGTGTGCACAGTCTACTTGCTATAAGACATAAAATGGGGAGATGGGTGTGGGTATGTGTGTACCTGTGTGAGTGTTACATAAATTAAAAAGTAATTGAAACTGTGTCAACTGAAAAAAGAAGAGCCAATATCATGTAGTCACATTACCAATATAGACTAAAAGGGAATAAATATCAACACTATAAAGTTATTTTCTCTAAAAAGTAAGGGAAATAGGATACAGGGATGTTGATGTCAAATTTGTTACTATGTTTAAAAAATGAGCATATGTTTTGACCTTAGTTTATGCTGTATTTCTCATGGAATATTTAATTCCTAAGTGTGAATGTATGGGAATTTGGCCACTGATTTTGGTTTTGTGTCTTCTTGCATATATGAAGAAAACGGAATATCCGGAAGTCGCCTGGCCGCTGAGATTCCGCATCCTGCATGAAATCGCACTGGGCGTGAACTACCTACATAATATGAACCCTCCTCTACTGCATCATGACCTGAAGACGCAGAATATCTTACTGGATAATGAATTTCATGTTAAGGTCATTACTTTTTTAAAAAGTTATGTGTATCTTTGTGATTAGTAGCTTTGAAAAGACATTAGTTATTTTTTCACCTGGCCAAATGAATCTCTCCCTTTTCCATGGCCCTATTACAGTACAGAGATAGACCTATTACAGCACAAAATATGACAAAAATTACATTCTTGATTGAAATTGTGGAGCATACCTTTTTTAAATTTAATTTTGAAATTGTTATAAGTTCATACAAAGTTGCCAAGATAATACAGAGAGGTCCCATGTGTCCTTCACTCAGTTTCTGCCAGTGGTTGCATCACACATAATGATAGTACAATTTCAAGAGCAAGAATTTGGCATTGGTACGATGGACACATGTAGTTCTGTGTCACTTGGTCACCTGTGTACAGTGTCCCATGCTACAGAGAACACTCGTGCTGCTCCTTCCAGCCACACCCTCCCTGCTCTGCACAGTCCCCGGGCCCTGGAAACCACCATCAGTGTTCCATCTCTCATTTCGTCATTTGGAGGATGCTTTATAAATAGATTCACACAGTGTGGGATGTATTGAGATTGGCTTTGTTTACTTAGCATAATGCCTTTGAGATCCATCCAAGTTGTTACTTGCGTCAGTAATTGTTCTTTGTTTACTGCTGAATAGTAACCCACAGTATGGGAATACCCCCTTGTTTATTCACCAATTGAGAGACATAGGTCATTCCAGTCTTTAGCAATTACTAGAAAGTTCCCACGAACAATCCTGTGCAACTTTTTGAATGAACATTAGTTTTCATTCCTCTAGGATTGATGCCCAACTGCTTGGTCACATGGTAAGAGTACATTTAGCTTAAGAACTATTTTACCCAACTACTTTCTGTCCAAAGTGGTTGCACCATTTTCTATTCCACCAGCAATGCATCCTAAGACCCAGCTTTCCACATCCTCACCAGCATTCGGTGTTACCACCGCTTTTCTGATAAACGTATTGTAATAGCTCTTTGTGGTCTTAATTTGCGTCTTCTTAATAGCTAATGGTGAACACCCTCTCATGTGCTATGTGTCATCTATGTACTTTTTCAGGGAAATGTCTATGTCTGAAGCCATTTTCTAATGGGATTTTTGAGGTTTTCTTTACTGTCAGTTTTGAGAGTTATAGCTGTTTTCTTTTCTTTCTTTTTTTAGTATATTTTTTATTGATTAAGATATTACATATGTGTCCTTATCCCCATGTTACCGCCT